GCCCTTGGGAGTAAGAGGGTGAATTGGAAATTTTGGGGTGTTTATGACTGGGTTTCCTGTCAAATCAGCCTCCTACCTCTTTTTGTCAGCACTTAAATATGAGGGAGATTATTTTTAAAATCACTCATCATCACATTTACAGGGAGAATTTGGAATAGGAGGGTGAAACCTCAAAAAAAAAGTGAAAGAAAAAAGAAAACAGGGAGAAAGCAGGCAGTAGGAGTTGGAGACATTTTTTTTTCTTTATTTAAAAATAAAGATGCAGCCTTAATTGTTGGGAGAGCTGGCCCAGGCAGGCGAGTTGACTGTGAACTTGTACTAAAGCGTGCTCTGCTGGCGATTCCTAGGGTGTGCAGATTTATCTTCTCTGCATTTACTTAACCCGGCAGTGAACTGCACGGGCGTCATTTGTTAGGCGATGACAGACTTCACCTCCAGCAAGGGCTGCTTCACAAAATCGCAATAATTACCCAATAACCTTCATAACAAATATTATTATTGAAAAGACTGGTTTGTGGGGAGGGGACCTGGTGGAAGAAGGACAGCTTTCTTTGTGAAAAACACCAAACAAAACAGACATAGGCAGATCTTCCAGTTCTGGGGTTTAGAATGTCCAGGACTGTGGTTCCCCTCTCCTCTGTGGGTGGGAACCTCGGCTGACCCCCTCAGCCTTGTCTGGAAGCCCCGTTTATAGTTTTGTCATTGACTAGAAAGAAATTCTGCCTTAGAAGCCAAGGGGATGGAGCCCACAACGTTCTGCACTCTCCATGGTGGGCAAACCTCAGACTCCCGTGCTAAGGCAGGGGAAAGGCTTTGAAGGGCATCTTTTAAGCTAAAAGGATTGTTTTCCTCTTTAATATCCCATCTTTCAGGATGTAATTTGCTCTCCCCCTCACTAATTGTTTGGATATAATACTCTTCACATCTCAACAAATGAACATGACTCTATTTCTGGTAGAAAATTCTGTCCCGCTCTCCCAAAGCCGCCAACAATGAAGCAGGCGAAAGAGCTGGAGAAAAGGAATCTCGGCATAATGTTGTGAAATTAGACCATGGAAACCCTAACAAACCCCTAAGTAAGTGTGACCAGAAGCTTCCTATTATATTTATAGTTCAGGAAATATTGCCTCTGCAGCTTGTAGAAACAAACAAGGCCCTGCACATACAGGACATCTTCTCCTTTTACAAGATGAGGAGCACAGACAGACACTTCTGCCACCGGCTGAGGCTGGATGTCTTTATAAAGCCCTTAATGACAGAGATTTTTTTTCTAAGTAAGTTCCTCTGCAAAACAACACCAAAGAAGGCACAAGAAGAAATAACTTATCTACAAAATGAGCAGATAACCAGCCATCCTCTCTATTATGCTTCTATGAAAATAGGAAGAAAAAAATTTCTCCAATAACGCTCACATAGGTCTGACTGAATGCTGTATTTTTAAAAAGTAATTTAACTCCTTGTGACTTAATCTGCCCTCTTAGGAACTCTGAACTTTTATGAAGATTACAACAGACAGAAATTAGCAAGTTGACAGTATATATAGCCTGCATTTTTTTTTTCAATTCACAGGAAAGATTCTCTACAGTAGGTAATGCTGGATATCGGTCTAACAGCCTTTCTGCCCATTCCCACACCCAGGGTGGGATGTGGCCACGGAGGTGATGTGGATGCTTCCTTTTGGGCAAATTACTCAAATGAACCTGCCAGAGCCCTATCGCTCTTTTTTTCTGCTACTAATTTTAGTCACCAAGAAATCACTCAAGCAAGATCACCAAATGAGTAACTAAAATAAAACCTTAACCCAGTATTTTCCAGTAAAGAACTCAAAAGTCAAAAACTCCAGAATTCTCACAGACACCAAAATGACAAAAGAAAACCCAAAGAGAGTTTATATTCTGGTTCCCACAAAGATGCGGACATATCTCCTGAGTGCTGAAATACCAGAACTTTAACAGGTCACGCAGGATGACTTCAGGGATTTGCCTTGCCACTATGTCAGAGAACTGGGACTTGTGGGAGGGTTTTGATTTTTAAAAAAAACTTCCTAGTTTTGTTTTTTGGACCTCTGACTTTGGGGGACACAACTGTGGGACTTATGCTGAGTTTAAGTGGCCTCTGCACAATAAAGTTTGTTGAAATTCCCAAACTATACCTTAATTTTTTTTTTCACTTTAAGCCATTAACAAATATCATTACCAATTAGCACTTGCAGAAAAGTATCCAGCTCCTAAGGAGAAAAGCATTTGGAGACAGAAGGTCCTATTTTTAAATTTCACTTCTGAGCTGGAGAATTTGGCTTATTTCTTCAGACTGAGTGGGGGGAATCTGCTAGGTCTCTGGTGGGTACTCATCCAGAGAAAGACCCCTGCACAGGCCACAGCATCCCCAGTCACTTTGCCACTGAAGAATGTGAGGGTTTGGGCCAGAGGGGGTGGTGGCTGAGGCCAAGTTGGAATTGTACCCAGGAAAATTTTATTTCACCTTACTTCACTGTTGGTGCAATATTGGGAACTGTTTTGGAAATCATAGATTATGTAAATTTCCTGGGATCAAACAGAAAGAGCAGCTAACAAAAGAAAGGCGGAAATCTCCTACTGACAAACGACCAATTTCTTCCTTAAACTATCCTTTATGAGGTGTCAGGAAAAACAACCTAATGGCTCTGGGGACTTTTAAGTTGGGCATTGAAGACACCTAGACTTCCCCCCAAACTTTAGGGCGCAGTTTGGAAGACAGAATTTGTCTGTATGTTGAGGGGAAGTAAATTTCTCTAATCTTTAATGTTACCTAGGGGGACGCCTAAGTTGCCTTTTGAGTACCCTGTGCCTGCAGGTCTTAATTCTACAAAGGAGGAGAGGAAAAGGAAAGAAGAGAGGGAGAAGAAAGGGAAGGCGGAAGAAAAGAAAGCGCTTTAACTCCTTTCATTTAGCCTGGGGATTCAAAGACTAAAGTTAAATCCGGCCATAAAGTTTATTGCTTCAGACTCACAGGCGGGTGAGAACAGTCCCACCGAAATAAAAAGAACGTGCAGGCAAACAAGGTTCAGGGCCTGGTCCCGGGTTGGGGGGCGGGGGCGGGGAGGGGGTCGTGAGCTCTCCCCCTCCCCCCCCAGGTGGGGACCCGCACTCCCCACAGTCCTGGGCTCGGCCTGGCCACCCAGGGGCCCAGCCTGGAGGTGCGGCCCTCGCCTCGCCGGCCTCTGCCACCCTCCGGCTCTCTAAGAGCCGGCGTGAAACTCGGCCCCGAAGGCAGCCGTCTCAATTCAGGGCTGCCAAATGACCCCGGCCCGCGAAGACATATTGCCACAGCCCCGTAAGGAATCCCGCCAGAGTTCGCCTCAGCCCTGCCTGGGCCTTTCTTTCAAACTCCGAGCACTCATCAGCGCAGCGCGGCCCTCGGCGCCCGTGGCCGGCGCCCCACTGTCTCCCAGCCCCCACCCTAGGGCCCCGCTGCCCCACGACGAGCCAGCCCCGCCAGCCCCCGGAATGGGGGGCTTGGCCTTGCCAAGGCTCCGCACACAGGCCCATTCGCACACAAAAATCATCTTTTGCACGCCGGCGAGAGCAGCGGAAGTCATTAACATTCGCGGTTGTGCAGCAATTAAAGTTAGGCCTGGGGACGCGGCGGCCACAGGCGCTTTTCACCGGGGTGCCTCCGCAGAGCTGGCGCCCGGCGCTGCTAATGTGGGCAGAGGAGAAGTGGGCTCTGCCCTTTTGAATTCAGAGGCAACCTCAGAGTTATTGAACCAGAGAGAGAGAGAGAGAGAGAGAGATCGAGGAAGAAAGTTTTCAGAGTACAAATAAACTTGAAAGCGCTCAGGAGGCGAGCTTACCTTAACTCGGAGGGAGCCATTTTTCAGAGAGTTTTGAGAACTTGTGGTTTGGACACTTCTGGACCTAAAATTGACAATTTGAATGACCAGGCGGCACACGTAGCCTGCAAAAGAGTCAAATGGAGTCCAGCGTCAGTGAGATTATATGTTATGTGGTATATAATGTTGGATGTCAACTCCCCAAAACCATAAAACTTACTTTAATGGCCCCACGTGACGTTTTATAGCCAGTGAGCCGATCTGTCTGTGCTATGGATGATTTTACGATCTAATTCATAGACAAAACCCTATTCATTTGGCACCCAAATGTCATATAGCCGGAACTGGGGCTTATAAAGTTTACTGTTTTATAACTTTTAAAAGGAAAGACGGCATCAGTGTAAGCAGTCGGTAAATGTGCAAATCTCTAGTTGCACTTTAGCTGCTCTGAGGAGTTTCCCAATCGAGCTAGGATGGGGTAAGTACCTTCCATTTGTAGCAAATTAATTGTAGCAAAAGAAGCCAACTGGGCTCAGGGTGAGGAAGGGGAAGGGGTGCCTGGGTGGGTTAGGGGCAGAGGGTCTGGGAGCCACAGCCGGGCGCAGCAGCCTCTTCAGCAAGTGGAGGCCTAGGATGACCTTAGGAAAGAGTCAGCCTCTGTGTGGGCCCTGAGGGCAGCTAACAAAGCCCTGTGCTTGTGCTCCTTTCTCTCTCTTCCTCTTTTCTTTCCTTTTTCTTTTCTTTCTTTCTTTTTCTTTTCTTTCTTTCTTTTTTTTTCCTGGTACCCAGCAAGTTAGCTTGGTTTCCTCAGAGATGGGTAGGTTGGACTCAGGCTTTGGAACCACCTACAGCTTTTCCACCTTCTGCCCTGAACTCTGATGGGTCAGAGTTAGTAAGGTCGCGGGTCAGGGTGTTGGACTGAGGTCTCCTTGCACAGGCAGGCTGCTCAGGTAGCTTCAGACTCACTGCCTTCCAGCACTGGACAGACACAAGAGCAGAAAGAGCCGCTTGCTGTTTTGGCACAAACCAGACCAAGAGAACTTACAATAGAAAGTTTATTTTTTTTTTGTTTCCAGTCAGTATTTTTTCCTTAAAAACAAATACAAAAAAAAAAAAAAAAAAAAAAAAGCTGATCACAGTTTGCTTAAACAGCCAGACTCGGACAATATTTGTAACTTTGTTCACAAAAACATACATCACTGAAGCTGCGCTTATGAGAGCCACTTCCAGAGTTCGTGCAAAGGGTCCTACAAAGGCACGCAGGGACACACCGCTCAGAGTCACAGTTTTCGTCACAGAGCCACTAGTCACTACACGTCAAACAAGTTAAGTTGTGTCTCATCAAGTCACCTCTACAACAGCATTAATTACACAAGGAATATAGGTAGTTTGAATAAAAATATCTTTAACAGCTTGGAGCTGTTGAGACAGGAACACTTCCACTCACATGCACAGTTAAACAACTGGAGTGCAACACACAACATTGGCACTAAACGAGGTTGAAGGGGGACTTTTTGTGTGTTTTTTTTCTCTTTTTTGTTATAGTTACTTCAAGTAACACAGCTTGCTTCATATAAATAAGTTAAAACATCTATTTTTTTTTTTCAAGACAAAGCCATTCAGGACAAAGAGATGAACAGAAAGCAGATCTACTTATACAAGCGCTATAATGGCAATAAACAGGCTCATGATTAAAAGATGAATTAGGGCAACGAGAACAGGGCTTCTTCACAGAAGGAACACAAGGGAGTTTCAGAAAGTCACCTTAGTACTGACACTACGCGGGATCCGCTAATACTGCTCAGTACTTTAAACGCTCAAACACTCAGGGGCGGAAGGCCCCTCCCGCCGCCGCCATGCTCATGCTTTTCAGCTTATTATCTTTTTTCCACTTCATTCTCCGGTTTTGGAACCAGATTTTAATTTGTCTCTCAGAGAGGCAAAGAGCATGTGCTATTTCAATCCTTCTTCGGCGGGTCAGGTAGCGGTTGAAGTGGAACTCCTTCTCCAGCTCCAGGGTCTGGTAGCGCGTGTAGGCCGTCCGGGCCCTTTTGCCTTCCGGGCCGCCTATGTTGTCTGCAACAGAAAAGTCAGCGATTTAGCCACGAACTCCTCAGCCCCGGGTTACCCAAGTCGAGCCAGGGTCCTGAGCAGGAACAGGGGGGAAAGCTCAACAAGTCCTCTCTTCTCGCCCGCCCACCCCTCCCGAATTTCCTTCCCTCTTCCTTTCTAGAGAGAAAACAATACAATTTGGACTCTGGGAACAATCGGCCCATCTGAGGCTGGAGCCGCGTCCCGGAGGATCGCCCGGCTTTCCTTCACCCCTCTCCTGCCCTCTGGCCCTGCCCCTGGAGTCCCGAGGCGGGGCACAGCCCTCCCAGGCAGCCCACCTCTCAGAAATCCACGGAAGCAAGGCCCTTCCCTGAGCGCCCAAGTGGCCTCCAGGTCACCCTTCCTTAAAGTTCCAGCCCCGCGAGCCGCCTTCTGTTCCAGCCTGCACGCTTGGGGCGCGTCTTTCTTTTTCTTCCCCTTTCCTGCTGTCCCTTCTGCTCCCAAACTTCAGAATCCCGCCGGCTCTCGCCTCGATTATTCACCCCCCCCAAGCCCCTTTTCGGGGACTCTAATTAGTAACGCTGTTTCCCCAGCGTAGCCCTCCTCATAAATTATCCACCCTGACAAGCCCGATTCACGGCCCCTACTGCCATCCTCTACCTCTCTGCGCCCTGCTCGGCTGGCCTGACCCGGGAGCGCGTTCCAAGGCGCTGGGGTTCGATATGGGATTTTTCCTTTCCCCCCCCCCGGTTTCAACATCTAGACTTGCCTGGCCAACGGCCCTTCTCCTCCCCGCCCCCCGGCCCCACTTGCGAGCGTTGGGCACTGCAGAGAAGAGAAGGTGGAAGGAGGAAGGCAGGGGAAGGAGAACGGCGGGGAGAGACTCCACAGGGCTGGGAGAGGCAAGATCAGGAGAGAGATGGGGAGAGAAGGCGGTAAAGGAGAGAAGGGGGACCGAGAGCCGCGCCCCCGCGGCCGCGTGGATTTAGAAAAAGGCTGGCTTTACCATGACTTATGTGCAGCTTGCGCATCCAGGGGTAGATCTGGGGTTGGGCGGGCGGCGCCGGGCTCGGCTCGCTCTGCGCGCCCGCCTGCTCGCTGCTGGCGGGGGCATCCTCCTCAGCTCCGGACGCCGTGCCAACCCCCTCTCTGCTGCTGATGTGGGTGCTGCCGGCGTTGGCCGAGGCGCCGCTGGAGTTGCCCAGGGAGTTTTTCCCGCCGTGGTGGCTGTCGCTGCCGGGCGAGGGGGCCACGGCGGAGCAGGGCAGCGGGTCGGGCGGAGGCGAGTGCGTGGACGTGGCCGGCTGGCTGTACCTGGGCTCGGCAGGCGCCGCGCTGGCGCCGGCCGCGTAGCTGCGGGCGCGCTCCCCGGAGCCAAAGTGGCCGGAGCCTGAGCGGCCGACGCTGAGATCCATGCCATTGTAGCCGTAGCCGTACCTGCCGGAGTGCATGCTCGCCGAGTCCCTGAATTGCTCGCTCACGGAACTATGATCTCCATAATTATGCAACTGGTAGTCCGGGCCATTTGGATAGCGACCGCAAAATGAGTTTACAAAATAAGAGCTCATTTGTTTTTTGATATGTGTGCTTGATTTGTGGCTCGCGGTCGTTTGTGCGTCTATAGCACCCTTGCACAATTTATGATGAATTATGGAAATGACTGGGACATGTACTTGGTTCCCTCCTACGTAGGCACCCAAATATGGGGTACGACTTCGAATCACGTGCTTTTGTTGTCCAGTCGTAAATCCTGCCTGATGACCTCTAGAGGTAAACTCGTGCACTAATGGGGGAGTTGGGTGGAGGCAAGAGGGGTGGCGCGCGCGCCCCAGGCGCGTGCCCGCCACCCGCCGCCGCCGTTCAGTCGGACTCGAGCGCCACCCGCTGGAGGCAGGGCGCATCGCTCCGCTTCCGACCCAGGGCTGCAAGGGCCGGGGTCGAATCGAGGTTACAGCCCATTATGGCAAAATTATTGCATTTCCCTCGCAGTTCCATTAGGATGTACCAATTGTGAGGCCGTCAGCTGCCGATCGCGCGCCCGGCGAGGATGCAGAGGATGGGGGGGGGGGAGATGGTGACTTGGATTTTATTTACAACAACTTTATTTCCCCGCTGTGCAGCCCCTCTTATTTTTGTGTCGAGGTTGGGGTCGGTTCTGCCCGTCGTGCCGGCAGCTCTGAAATTTGAAAATACAGATATCACCTTCGGGGAAGGGGGGAGGCCATTTAGCCAATTGGAGAAATAAATCCTGCCCGCAGCAGCAGCTACAATTACGGCTCTGTTTTTCTGTGAGTGCATGAGGGACAGCGTCCCTGCCGCTCTTAAATGACAGGCGTCTATTAAAGATAGCTTTTGTGTAGTGTTTCTCCGAGGCGAGGTCAAATTCCATACACTTTTATAACCGGAGTCGATTTTTCTTTCGTGTAAATATGGTTTTCGTGTCATTAGTTCGCTATTTGATTTGCTTTAAGTATCCAATCTGGAGAATCTTCCCCACCAGGTCCCTTTCCTCCAGGCAGCCGGGCCCCAAGTCGGAGGGTTCTCGCTGAACCCGCCGAGTGGGCCTGGACTCCCCGCAGCCACAGGAGCTGCTGGGAGGCTGGGGATCCTTGGGCCGAATTATTAGGGTCTGGCTTACACCTCCAGGAGTAAGATGAGGGTGCTAATGGAAACATTTCGTGGCAGTGCCTAGTATCTTCGTAGATATTTTCCTGGGTCCTGAAAGACGAAAGTAAATCACAAACACAGCCGAAAGGCCTGGGGGGTACTTCCCGCTGGAGGCTGAGCGTCGCAGGCACCCCTGGCGCATTTGGAAACCAGGACTCTTGCCGTTCCCAGGGTCCTGAGCCGCCTCCTTAGGTCCTGAAAGCCACTGTGATAGAAGCGCAGGCACTATCGGAGGCGGGGATCCGGAGCTGGCTCCGGAGCTGGAGCCTTCGGGAGCCCAGTCTCTCCGGGGGCTGTAAAGTTCCGCTCGCGCCCAGGTTAGGTCGGCTCGACTGAGGCTGCTTCTCTTCCACGGACGGTTGCGCGCGGGGCCGAGAGACTAGGCTGTCTCAGGGTCCCCTTTGTTCCTCACGCTTCTTCCTGTCTAGGAGCGGCCTGGGATGCCACGGCAGTGCTGGGGCCCCAGCCTTTAGGCCCCCTCTTTCCAGTAGCCTGAGTCGATTCGGTGGTGACCTCCGCGACTTGGTGTCAAGGGACCGAGGCGGAAACGCCCAGACACCAAAAGAGGCTCGGCCCAGGTTCTTTCCTCTCCAGCAACCCCGCGTCACGAGCTCAGGGGCACGCAAAGGCGCTGGCACAAGAGCCGGGGATGAATTCGGGGCGCGCCATGGGACCCGGAGCCGACTAGGGCAGCCTTGGAGAGCGGGGCTGTATGTGCAGTGCGCCCCGCTCCACCGCTGGGATTGGCTGTGTGTAGATTTTTTTTTTTTTTTTTTTTGTAAGAAATAAATGCTCAGGCGTTTGCAAAGCTCCCTCTCCCCTGAAGCTGCAGAAGCCCCCCGGATGGGAGCAGGCGGGGGAGAAAAGTTGGGGAGCAGGCGAAGGCAAGGGGGCAAAGCCGAGGGAGGTTGCGATGCTGGCCTGGTCCCTGCCCAGGCGTTTACTCGCCCGCCTTTGCCTCAGCGTCCTCCCCGCTGGGCTGTGTGGAATTGATGAGTTTATTTTCCTTTTTCCACTTCATGCGGCGGTTCTGGAACCAGATCTTGATCTGGCGCTCGGTGAGGCAGAGCGCGTTGGCGATCTCGATGCGGCGGCGCCGCGTCAGGTAGCGGTTGAAGTGGAACTCCTTCTCCAGCTCCAGCGTCTGGTAGCGCGTATAGGTCTGGCGGCCTCGGCGCCCGTGACTCCCATACACAGCACCTGCGGGCAAAAAAGGCCGGGCGCGGGTGAGCCAGGATCCCAGCCGAACCAGGCAGACCCGCGCCCCGCGCCCCCGGCCTCTAAACTGGAAACCACCCGCCTCCACTCCAGCCTCTTTTCGCTATGTCTAAGGCCAAAAGCCGGTAGGATGGGAGAAGATTATTTCATACCAAGCGAGATGTTTTCCACCTAAAACAGTCTGGAGTGAGAAGTTATTGTTTTGGGGGAAAATCTGCTCTGTAAGAAAATCATTACAAGCAGAAGAACAGAATGAGCATTCTTAATTCAGGGTACCTGAGTCGTGTTTTTGTGAGAGTGTAGGGTGTGTGTCTGGAAGTGATGGGTGTGGAACCCTGTGAATAGGATGGACACTCGGAATTCACACACCCATCCCTGTGAAGGTGTTACTGTGGCCAGACGTGTCAGGACTCAACTTGGGTTTTTATTTTGTTTTTGTTTTTGTTTTTTCTTAAGATGAAAAATGGTCAGCCCTCTCAAATCTTTGCAAACTCCCCCCAAATTGTATGGCCCTTCTGAGAAATGCAGAGCTCCCTTGGAAAAACAACAACAACAACAACAAACAAGTGGATCTTAAAGCAAAACACTATCAGTTTAAAATTCTGCATTAGGTTCTGCCCTGCTCCAAGGATTCTCTGTCAAATTTTTGGAAAACAGAGGCAAAGGGATGGAGCTATGGGCCATCTGGGGTTTCTGGAAATGTAGGACTGTGATGGGCTATCTGTTCTGAAGCCAAAGGAGCCCATGGGTGGGGGGCTCCCCCCAAGCTGGGTGTATGAGACTCAGGAAGGCCCTCAAAAGGAGGCAGAAGTTGGCAAAGAGTGAGCAGTTGAGTGGAAGGGGGAGGAGGGGAGGGAGGAGAAAGAAAAAATCCTGAGGCTGGGGATGTGGCCCTCCAAGGCTTTAGGGAGACACTAGAAGAAGCCAAGTGAGAGCCTCTATCTATATGGGTTTCTGAAAGGCAGAAAGGAGAAGGGTTGGGGGGTGAAGGGGAGTTATTAGTGCTGGGTGCAGAAGGCCATCTCTGCTTGGGGATCTGAGCAGGGTGTTACCAGGGGGAAGTGTGGACAGGCACTCCCTCCCATCCAGCCTAGCTCTCTGTTCAGGTTGCCCCTGTCACAGAGTCTCACCTAGAGTGGCAGTGACCCCTCTCCATCCCCTAAGGTGTCACCTTACATGGCTACTAGTGCGGTGCCTTCACTCTGCCACAGCTTGATTGCCTCGCTGGGAATGGGTTGGGTTTTTTTTGTTGTTGTTGTTTTAATCTCTTTTTTAAAAAGCCAGGAAACTTTGTTCATTCTTTCCTCCTTTCTTTCTATTTCCTCTTTCTGCTTTCCCTGTCTCCTCCTTCCTTCCTCCTTTCCCTGCCCCTTTCCCCCTCTGCCTCCACGCTCTTGGGGGGGCTGCAGGGAAATGCCTTACCCGCGCAGGAGTTCATCCGCTGCATCCAGGGGTAAACAGGACTCGTGTACTTCCGGTCGGTGCCTTCGTCATGGAGGGCTTTGCCCGGCACGTTGCTGCTGTCGGGTTTGTACTGCTGCTCGGGAGAAAAGTGCAGGTAGTCCCCGGGGCCCCTCTGCTTGCCACTGCCCGAGGGCGAGGCGCCACTGAGGTCCTTATCAGAATAGAAGCACGAGGCCCCGTACTCGTAGGACGCCCGGTTGCAGGCCAGGACCGAGTTGGACTGTTGGTAGAAACAAGGTGAGGTGTACGTCTTGTCCGGGAGGCTCGACGCCCCGTACGAGGCCGGGAAGGGCCTCAGCGCGTCATAGCCGGCCGGGTAGAGGGGCAGCTGGCCCAAAAAGGAGTCCTGGCCGCTGGGCAGGCTCCCGGGGAAAGTGGGATTCACAAAATAGGAACTCATTTGCGCGCCCCTCTGCAGGACTGTGATTTGTTGTGTATTAGTACATCTGGCTATAACTATTAGTAGTCATCGAACTGGTTTGTTTCTGGATGGCCGAACGCCAAAAGCGACAGCAGCAAATCGCACCAGCTGACGCGGCGGCGGCCAATGGGAGCGAGCGCTGGAGCCCGCTCCCCGGGGACCGCGGCGACCGAGGCAGCAAAGTTACAAACAGCCCCCAGCCCGCCCGCCCGCCGCCCGCCGCCCGCCCGGCAGATTAATGGGCGCGCACAGCCAGCCAGCCCGGCTCTCCTCCCGAAGGCCAACGACGGGCACAGCCCGGTTAGGGGCGTGCGAATCAGGCCGGGGTAGGGGCACGGGAGTCCGGGCCGCCGCAAAGGTCCCCGCCAGGCCCGCTCCTTCCTCCTCCCCTTCTTGCCTGGTCCGATTTTGCCGGTTTTTCTTTCCAAACAGGAAACCTGACAGCCCCGCGCCCGGAGGGGCGGTGACAACGAAGGCTTTGCTCCCCGTCTCCCTGCCCTCGCGCCAGGGCCCTGAGTTTGCCCCTCGCTCTGCACCCCCCTACCGGTGGGTGCGGGTTCCGGAGTTGGAGAAGGGGGTCTGAGAAACCAGGCCATCAAGCCCTGCTCCTCACTCCTGCACCTTAGGAATCGGTGCATCCCTTCTTACTCTCCTTCCCCACACCCACCAAGGGCCTGGGCCTCGCTGCCGCCGGGTGCGGAAGGCTCACCTCGAGCTGACCAAGATGGGCCAAACGTCTTTTCCCACTGGCCCCATCCTCCCACAGACAACACGTCTCCTTTGAGTTCCAACCGGCTCCCCTCCAATGGCCAGCGATTGCGTGGCCTCAAAGCACCCCACAAGCTGTGCCTCCGGGTCCCATCTTTGAACCCAGGAACTGAGAGGCCAGAAACCACTGGTTTCAACAAGAAAGGGACCTACAGAGGAGTGACCTTGAGACGGAGCTCCGAAGCCAGCCATGGGACCTGCTCCCCTCTCCCAGCACTTGGGACTCTCCCTCCCGACACCTGGACTGCTCAGAGCTGAGACAGATCCAGATGTGGAATCTCTGTCCTCATTTCAGAGGCACAGCGATCCAAGGTCCCTGCCCAGCCAGGCATAGAGGACACCTGGGATGTCCCAAGGCTGTGAGATCACTGATGTGCTTGGTTTGGGGGCCTCCCCACAGCCCGCACTTTGCTGGAGTGTACCCTTTCCCATGCCTTTCCTGGGACTGTTGGGGGCCTGCCGCCTGCAGTTGCTCTAATACCAGGAATAGCTGTTTCAACGGCTCCAGGAACTGCCTGCATTGCTTTTTACCGTGGTCCCAGGCCTGGCCTTCCCCAGACAGGACGTGAAAAGCTTGTCCTGGGTTGCTTTCCCTTGCTTGATAGGTGTGCCTTCGAGATAGTTGACTTTTACAGCACATTGATCAATCTCATTTTGTAAAATGTGATATCTTTCCAATGGCATTTTTACAACTGTATTTGTTGGGCTGGTAAAACCCTTAAAATTAGCTTTAAAATCCTCAATTCTGTGGAGGCTGAAGAAAGACTATTTATACAATTTGGTTGAATTTCCAGTGGATGTTTGTAAGATCTGTAAAACTCTGGTGAATGCAGGCTCATGAGGTTCAGGACTTGGGGGGGGGGTGTAGCAATGCCCTCCTAGGAATCTGCCAACGACTTCCTTAATCTCTTCCCTGCTTTTTGATTTTTACCCCTGCCCTCACTTCCCTCAAAGGGAGAAAACTGGGAAAGGACTGGATTACTGGTGGCTTCCACAGAACCTAGTGAGCACCCCTGAAAATGGCTTCTGCCCACCCGATGGGGGCTGGACCCAGAAGCCTTCTGCCTGTGCCCCAACCAATCCACGCTAGGGAAGTTTCCCCTTTGCATATATATATAAAGAAGGGCCTGGCAAGAGAAGATAGAATGTAACATTTCCCTGGAATTTCCTCAGAGAATGGACAGGATAGCTGAAAATAAAAACTCAAGTTTAAAATTCTAAAGGGAACTATTTTTTAAAAGCTATGTTCAAAGAAAATCATGTTTGAGTTATTGTTTCTTAAACAAGACCATTAGATGACAGTGATTTCAAACAAATGATTGTTGTTCAAGACAAAAATAACTGTTTGGAGATGTTGATAAATGCTTACATTTATAATTTCTGTGTCATACCTCCAGGTCTCACACAGTATTGGGACTGATGGCAGTTTATTCCATATACCACGGTTATTATTTGTTATGGTTTGACTTGGATTTTTGATCTAATAATTACCCCAGACAACGACAGAATTTGATTTCTCAGCTAAGAGCCAAAAAACATTATATTTCTAGCTTCTACAGGCACTGAGATAGAAAAAAATAAATAGAAATTTCTACATGTTAGCCAAGGCTGGTACATCTTATGTTGGCGATGACCCAATTTATTTTTCCAACCAGCATTAGGTGTCTATATATATATATAGAGAGAGAGAGAGAGAGAGAGAGAAACAGAGCGAGCGAGAGACATAGACACACTCAGGCGAGAATAGGAGCCCCAGACGCTGGAGGGAGCCTCTCCTGGGATAGTGAGAATGGCTACTAGGACTCTCTCTTCTAGGTCAAAGCCACAGAGAAAGTCCACTTACCTTTCAGCTGCTCTTCAAAGGGGACTGGATGGCGTGCAGGGCCCCACAGTCTGCCCTTTCCCTGGGCTGCCCACTCGACCTCCGCCAGCCTGGGGGGCGGCCTGCCCGTGTGTGGGGGGGACCTTGAGGGCCACCCGGGCCACCTGGATCTGTAGCCCAGGACAGAGCCCATAGCGCACAGGTGCGGCCTCTGCCTGTCACAGGCCCTCGCCTGACGCCAAAGCCCGCCTTTCTTGCCATAGTCAGTCCTCCTCAGGGCCAGCCAGGCCTGCAGGCCTCAGGACCAGGAGTGGTCTCTCCGATTTCAAAATCCCGAAGCAGGAGCCTTCCCCGCACCAGCGTGCGCCCCGGGGGGCGCCTTGGGACGCGCAGTTTGGACAGAAGCAGCCATGACGTGCCAGGCCGCCTGTGCAACCAGTCTCCACGGCGCTGGGGGTGGGGGAGGACCCGAGTCTAGTCGGGCGTCCAGCTCTTGTCAGAGGTGGCCAAGGCGGGGGAGGTTCCCGACAGGCCCTGGGAGGCCGCCCCTCAGGTCCTCCCTTGCCCCCCTCTCCTCGGCCTGCTGGCCTGCTTGGGAATCTCCGAGGGGCCCGCGCAGCAGTCGCGCCAGGCTGCAAGACGCGGGGCTGCGGCTGGCGTCGGTCCCGGCGACGGCCACAGCGTGGCAGCAGCGAGCGCCCGGCGCGGTCGCAATAAATAATCTGCCCGCGGCAGCTGCAGTCAGGCAGCCCGCGGCCCTGCGAAGCAAATGCGCCGCTTTATCCGCCCCGAGCGCACCCACGGCGCGCGGGGCCGTCCCAAACGTCCACAGCCCCTTCTGAATTTTCTAATGCATACCAAGGTACTCTCTTAAGGTGAGAAAACAACAACCGAAGCCACAAAACAAACAAAAATAACTCGAGCCCAGAGCCTCTGGATGGTTTCTGGTCGCAGTCCCGGAAAGCTCCTGGGGCAAATCTGGCCGAGGGGCACCCAGGCCAACCTGCTATCTGTGCCACCGCGCCAGAGAAGGCCAACGCCCACGGCACCCTCCGTGCCTCCTCCCCGGCGGGTCCACTGTCCCTCTTCCCGCTCGCGGAAAGTGGGGCTTGCGGTCGCCAGGCGGCTGCGCCGAGGTGGGTGGGGGGGTCCCCCTATCGCCCAGACTAGGTTTGTGTCCTTCCTTCAACCTTAGCTGCGGCCCCTGCCACACTCAATAACACCACTACGTTCTCTGCACCGAAACTTCCCGCCAAGCAACACCCAGCCAATTAACCCCATCCTCTCCTCCAACACAGAGTTCCACCCACGCACGTAGTCCCTCTCCCCGCGCTTCAGACACCCCTGTCATCGGAAAACCTCGTGAAGGCAAGCAGACAATCAGCAGAGGAACCTGGCTGAATTAGTAAGTTTTTGTTTGCTTTTTTTTCCTCATTCTTTCTCTCCAGAAACCGATTCCCTTGGAACAGAAGGTGTTGTGTTGATACCAGTAAAACGCATGTCAATTAATTAATTCACTTTGCCCTCACCTCTTCCCACCTCCCCAGATCGGGAGCTGTCTCCAGTTGTTGGGGAATTCAGTCGAGCCAACTAGGTCATGAATTAAAAAAAAAAAAAAAAAATCCAATCCAGAGAGGCTGGTAGGGAACGCCGAGTGCAGGGCCACTTCTTTTGGGGGCTAGGCAAGGTCGCTGGGGAAGAGGAGAGGGAGACCACAGTGCTCCCGCCCCATGCCAGGACGCTGTGCCACGGAAGGAAGGCTGGCATTTACTGCCATGGTGAACCAGGGAGAGGAGAGAGAAAGGGAGTGTGTGTGTGTGTGTGTGTGTGTGTGTGTGTGTGTGTGTGCGCGCGTGCGCGAGTGATGGAGGGGGCAAGTGTGAACGGTGAGTGTGGGCGAGGGTCTTCAAAGCCGCCCTGGGTGCCCTCTCCCACCGCCGCCGGCGCCGGCTGCCATCTCACCACCTTTGCTCCTGTCTCCCCACATGTCTCACCTTCAGATGGCGGCTCCCAGAAGCTCCTACCCCTCTGACAGCTGTCGCTTGGGCAGCCGGGGAGACGAATCGTCCTCCTTCCTGGTGCCAGAGGACGCAGGAAATTAGCCAGGTTGCGAGTTGCAAAGCGGCTGCGGCGGCGCCGGGACCTGGACGCGCCCCACCTCCAGCGGGAGCGGCCGGGCCGGGCCGGGCCAGGGCCTCGTCTCGCTCGCCATCGCCGGACAAAGCGCAGCCAAGCCCGGCTGGAAGGCAGAGCTCCGAAGCAGGCAGGACGGAGCGGAGCAAAAGAATGCGGCTCTATTCTCGCAAGGGAAATTATAAAAAAGTTCATGTTCACGGTTCCCATCCACATGACCGACAGCGGCCAATGGAAGGGCCGAACAACTCATAAAGTTGTATTGCAAAGTTGTAAATTTTCATAAACAACAACGGATTTATGACCCTTTCCCCATCACTAAGAGGAGGCAGCTCTTACACCGGCGCCATCTTACCACCGAGGCCGCCCGGACTTGGGGCCGCAAGGTTTTACAAACCCAGTTGGGCCAGGTTTTATTAAAAGAGCAATAAGAAGCGGGCCCAAGCTAGGCAGGAGACGGGAGTCGAGGTCTTCGCCTGCAGAGCTCAGACTACTCTGCGCTGTCGCTATCGTCCCTCGCCCCTACCCAGACCCTCCACCTTCCCCGCACCCGGACACCCCCGCCAAGGCTCGGCAGCCCGCGTGTGCGGACCCCTGCCCTTCCCATACCCCTCAGCTGCAGTGCTGCGCACGGAGGTCCTCGCTTTGCCTGAATGCGGGTGGGAGGGGGGCTGCGTCAGAGGCTCTGAATCCCCCCTCCTAGCATGGGGCCGTTTTCAGGATTCATGGAAAATTCGGGATCACTGGCAAGGGTAATACCCCTTTCCAAGCCCACCCCACAGCCTTAGAGGGAAGGGTGGATTTTGGATTCGCTCATGGAATTTGTGGAGGTGTTTTGTTTTTTGGGGTTTTGTTTTTTTTTTAAGGGAGATTCATGGAATATAATGTATCCATTGAAGATTCCGTTTTCAAGAGATCTGGAAGATGTTTTGCACGCGCGCACACACACACACACACACACACACAACCAAGATGAAAATGTCCTGAGAAATGCACATATGCAATCATGGACACACAGAAATGCACACACCCAATTATGGGCACAAATGAGTGCATCTATTTACACCAGAAACACATGCACTCAATTTTGGACACAGAATTACATAAAATCACTGACTTGTGCAGTAATACACACATACATAAAATACACATATTAAAAAAGAGGTACACACATACCTATACAAATCCACACTTTAGAATCCAAACAAAAAGGGACTTGACACACATTTACACCAATATATGGACACTCAACACTTGGGCCCTATTTGTCCTTCCAGTTTTGCTTCCCCCAAACCCCTGTGGGCTTCCAGACATAGCAAACCCTGGCTAGGCTAACCCCAGCCAGGCTTACCTCTCTTTCCCAGCTCCCCCCACACCCCTCCGCACCCTGTATAAAGCAGTCCACATTTTTTTGTCACCAAGCATCTTTATTTTTCTGTTACATAAAACACGGTTAGCTGGGCAAGACAGGAAGTGTGCCTGCCCATTCCTGGAACCCCAAGCTAGAGCCTACAGGGACAAGGGGGACGCAGGACAAGACAAGAGATGAAGGGCATTGGGAGGGCCATCAGCCCTCCCCCCCAGCTATAAAGTTAGCTCAAGACAACACACCATGCTACAAAATCACCCCATTAACACATCCTTCCCAAGTCAAGACATTGCCTTACAAATGACCTCCAAGACTATATAAATGACAAAAAAAAAAAAATCTTGGTCAAATATACAATATTTTCTATTGTAGGAAAGGTCAGGGTGTACATATTCAACATGGCTGGACAGTAGGACACAGGGACCAGGGAAGGTGCAGGAAGGCTGGGAGCATCTCTGTAGTCCTACTAAGCAGAAGCTAACCCAGAGATCTGCGGCTAGCTTGGGAATGCTCCCCTCCAGAAGTGGGGGTAATGGGCCTGAACTTGGGGTGCCCAGGCCAGAGAAGGAGGGATTCTAGGTTGCAGCACTTAGAATGCTTTGGAATAAATATATTATCTTTCAATTTAAATAGAAGCCAATACCCTGGTCCCCGGACCCCAGCCCTTCTCCACGCAGCCTCAGGGACCCCAAAGGCTGCCAGGCAGAAGCAGGAGGGGCCTGGCGGAGGAAGCGGCCGGGACTAGGTAGCAGGCGAGCCAGTGAGCACAAAATAGGTAGTTTGGGAGTGTAGGTAGTACTGAGAGAATCAGGTCCTTTCCGGTATGGGGGAGGTGCTGGGTGTCTGCCAGTGTTGGGACATGTCTGGGCTTCCTGGGAGTGGAGGCCTACTGGGGATGGGCCCATAGGTAGTTTGGGGTGCCTCTGGCCGAGGCCTGTGCTAGGTAGTATTTTAGCCGTGCCAGCGCAGAGCTGGTCGGACTGGGGTTAGGGAGGGTGTCTGCTGGGGATCCTTGGGGGCAGATAGAGCCCCAAGGGGACCCTGTCTAGGCGGCTGCTCGGTCCAGAAAAGATGGGAGCTGGACTGGGTCGTGGGGCAGATGGGTGCAGGTTGGGGACTGTTTTTTTTTTTTTTTTTTTTTTTTTTTTTTTTTTTTTTTTACGTTTTCTTTTTATTTTTTCCACTTTTGTAAATAAAATCAATGAGTCTCTAAAGATGCTTTTCCCGACTGTCTGGTGCAGCCCGGGCACCGACTTGGCCCCTTATTCCTCCTCCTCTTCGTCTTCATCTTCTTCGTCTTCGTCCTCATCGTCGGCCTTGTCGGTGGCGGCGGCGGCGGTGGCGGCGGGCACGGCGCCCTCGGGGGCTGCGGTGGCCGGACCCTCATCCTTATGCTCTTTCTTCCATTTCATGCGGCGGTTCTGGAACCAGATCTTGATCTGGCGCTCGGTGAGGCAGAGCGCGTGGGCGATCTCGATGCGGCGGCGCCGAGTCAGGTAGCGGTTGAAGTGGAACTCCTTCTCCAGCTCCAGCGTCTGGTAGCGCGTATAGGTCTGGCGGCCCCGCTTCCTGTCGGGCCCTGGGAACAGACAGGACACATGGACACATGGACAGATAAACCAACAGAGACACAGACAGGACAGTGCATTAGCCAGGCCGCCGTCCCAGAGCCCGCACCTTTCTCCCAGCGCTGACCCGGGCGCGCGTCCCCCCTCCACCCGCGCCTCCCGAAAGGAGCTGGGGGAGGAGCGGGAGTGTTAGCGGAAGACCCCAACTGCGGTGCCAGACGCGCAGGCAGCTCTGTGAGGAGGAAAGGCGCAGAATCCCAACTTTACAACCGTCCTTTCCAGCCGGCTAGGCTTCCACAATGTCCTGCTTCCCCCTGACAAAGGGAAATTGTAAATATAGAGTGTGGGCAAGTGGGAGACGCTGCGCTTTTACCATTCAAAAGTGAGCTGGGTCGCTTCCTCCGCCCCTTGCTAGGCAAGTGGGTGACCCTCGGGCGGTCCGCACTCCAGGGGCGCCTTTCCTCCCTAGAGGACCGCGCCCCCATAGCGGGACCTTCCTTGGGCACTCCGACCCCCTGTCCCCGCTCTCGTTCCCCACCCCTCCTTTAACTGGCCCCTGGCACAGGGGCGTAAGAGGGGCCCTGATGAAGGGTTTGGCTCATCCTGCTTTTGAAAAAGAAAAGCCAGGCCGAAAGGAAAAGGAGGAGGGAGGGAGAGAAGAAAGGGAGAGAGAAAGAGGGAGAAAGACAGAATAGCGAACAAAATGTTAAAATTCGAAGGCAAATGGAGTTAAATAAATTTACGAGGATCGAACCCATTAATTGGGTCATAAAAAGTTTTATGAGCCTCATTTACATACAATGCTACGGGCTCTCCACGCTATGGCGCCTTGACTCTAATTAAAACCAGAAAGGCAGCGCCGCCAGGAGTCACGGGGCCGTCGGCTCGCAGTTGCCTCTCTCCGCGCTCCGCGCTCCCCAGCCGGGCGCTCCCCGCTGCCCGTCCGCCCCGCTCGCCCACCCACCCGGCCAGCCTAGCTGCCTCGCCTACCTGAAGACCGCATCCAGGGGTAGATGCGGAAATTGGCTTCGGCCGGGCCGTGCAGCGCGCCTTCGTCCGCCTTGTCGCAAGCGCCTTTGGCGGGGTCACCGCAGAGCCCGGGGATGTTTTGGTCGTAGGAGGCGCAGGGCAGGTTGCCGTAGGCGTCGGCACCCAGGCCGTACCCGGACGCGAAGGGGCTCTGATAGAGGGGGCTGTTGACATTGTACAAGCCCGGTACGGTGGAAGCGAAGGCGCCGGCGCCCGCCCCGTAGCCGCTTCTCTGCGAGTTGGGCGCAAAGGAGCAAGAAGTCGGCTCGGCATTTTGGAACAGAGAAGCCCCCGCCGTATATTTGCTAAAAAGCGCATTCACATAATACGAAGAACTCATAATTTTGACCTGTGATTTGTTGTCCGGCAGCTTTCAGTGTCGGTTTTACGAGGTAGCGTGATATATGATAACATTACACCCCCAGATTTACACCAAACCCCATTTTCTTTTGGACGGAGCTCGCCGCAGCACGTGACTGCCCACATGACCGCCTCCGCCAATCTCAGCAGCCCTCACAGGTGGTCTTGCTCCGCGGGGCCCGCGGCAGCCTAGAATGGAAGGGGAAGAGGCTCAAATATGTGGCCAACGAATCTGCCCGCGCCGGGCTGGCCTGGCGCGTCCCGCGGGAAAAGGACTCCGAGGCTCCGCGCGAGCGCTCAGTTCACCGCAGCGTGGACGCCTGGCCTGCAGAGGCTGCGCGGGGCGGCCGGGCAAAGCCTCCTTTAGCCTATTACCGAACTCTGGACCAAGCCTGCAGGCCTCCCGACCCCTGTCCTGTCTACTGACCCAGCCTAGGGAGGGTCTCTACACTCTGCGCACCCGTCCGACCCACGGCAGTCCATGGGCAAGTCTCAGCTTCGGGCAAATCGGTTCTTTGCCCGCTTGTACCCCCCGCACTCCCCACCCTCCGCCACGTCCACTGGGCAATAGGCCCAGTTGGACTATGATCCAGATGGGGCCCGCGCAGCGTCACTTCCAGCTGCAGCGAGAACGCCACCGCAAACTGGAACCATGTGGTTCGAATAAAGTCAACGTCTCCCAGCTTCCTTTCCTTAATCGGAGGCACACTGTTTATCCGCCTTAAAGGAAGCAGTGAAATATTTATCTATTAATGAGCCTCATTTGCCAACAGATTTATTAACGTGGGGTTCCCCTCCTGCCTCCTGGACACTGCTGTCCTGGCAGGCTCTGTGCATTCGCTCCTGGGCACCTGGCTGGCCTCTGGCAGCCTAAGAAATAGCTGGACACTCTTTTGTCCTCCCGGCAACCTCTGGTTTCCCCTCACTCAAGGGGAACCAAGTCTCTTTCCTCCAAGGCTGGAGGAACCTCAGGCCCTACACCCTTCCAGGTACCCCTAGTGCCGGGACTTTTCTGGAAGCCTTTACCGGGGCCACCCATGGGCCTCTGTCAGCTCCTCATGGTCTTGAGTGCTTGGGAGCAAGCACTACATATGGTAGAGGCAGTTTGAGAGAAGCCCCAGGTGCCTGGCGGCTTCAGCCCACTATGAATCTCCATTTCTTTTTGGAGACCCCCAAAACAAATAGGGGGGACCCCCTCTAGTAAGACCACCCAGTTCTGGCGGCTTCACATTTCTAAGACTGGCTCACAGAGAGCAGAACACAATAATTTCCCTCCTTCCCATTCAGGCCCCCAGCGCCTGGAGCTTACCTTTCCAAGCCTCCAACCCCTGCGCAGGGTTGGACAAGCCGGAACCCATGCCGCCCACCGCTTGTCGGAGTGTGGTGGGGCGAACCCTTCCCCTAAAGGCCTCATAAACTGCTCAGGCCTCGCTGGAAGCCCATCCGCCAGGTCAGTATGCCTTTTACTGCTCAGCTCGATTGCACACCATAAACCCGACCTCACAATGGAATTGCCCCGGAAATTCTCCTCTAAATTATAGAGTTTGGTTCCTTGTGTACAAAGCACTTCCCATCACTTTTAGAAAGTCCAGGCCGCCCCCTGTTCACTGCACCCTCTCAGGGGGTCCCAGGAGTACAAAAGGCAGCAAGAGGGTTCAGACCCTGATGCAACGGAGCCCCAGTTCCTGCCTAGTGGACTGCCCATGGGCGTGGGTGGAGAGATGGGGGGCTTTCCGGGCAGGTGGGCCCCTGCTGGTATCCCCTGGGGACACAGGGGCTGTAGGCGGCGGGGGAGGGGGGGGCAATAACCTGGGATGCTCTTTATGGAGGATCAAGATGATAGCATGTCTCAGTTGGGGAATGGAGGCTGTAACACGGGTAGGGGAGAAAAACTAAATATTCCAAATAGCATCGCTTTCGGGCAGGAAATAAAAACCTAAAAAAGTTAAAGGAAGACGAAGCAAGCAAGAAAGCCAGGAGATCAAAGAGGCGGAATTAGACAGCTTTAGACCAATAAATTGTTCCCCGGGTGACACAGAGCAAGATGCAAAGAGAAAGACACGGCCCCGCCGCCGCCGCCGCCGCCGTCTGTCTAGACTCCGGCGGCTGGGACGGCCGACAGCAATGGCGTTTTAAGTAAAACCTGCCCCGAAATGAGATGACCCAGACCAAGTGGGAGACAGGGTTCCGGGAGCGCGGGAAGGAACACTGCGGCTGGGACCCCAAGCCACAGGCTCATCCCTGCTTGGGTTTTGTCCGGTGCAGGTCCAAACGGTTCTAGCGGGGCGCGCTGCCCCTTCGCTTGGGCCAAAGAGAGTCCGGATACTGCCGGCAAGGCCTCAGCCTTTCTAGGCCCAAGTCAGACAACTGGGCCGAGTCCCGCGGGTGCCGCATCCTTTCGTTCGTTTCTGGGCTTCTGTGTTTCCTCCTGCCTTCGTGGCGGGGTTTTAAAACGAAAAGGCCAGACAGAGCCAGGCTTTCAGTAAGGCCTCCTTAATCGCGTGTTCTCGAGCCATTGGTTTCCTACCTATTTGGCTGAAAAGACACAAATGCACTGGGTTGTATGTGATAATATTCATAGAAATGCTCGTTGATGATCAGCCTGGAGCAGGCACGTGCGGGCGGGTTTCTAACCAGCCGAGCTGTCTTTACATAAAGACATTTTTCTCACCGCTCTCCCGGAGCTGGATTCCTACCTACCAAGCACAATGTGTTTCCCTTGCTTCTTGTTACCAAATAGTGCTCAATATTTAAACTCAGATAAGAATACAAGCCCAGCCCTGGGAAAGCGAAGGGAGCCCATTTCCAGTCTGGCTGCTGGCGATTTGCTTCTCTAAACGTTTCCAGCCGCGCCCCTCGCACGGGCTGCGCACGGTTCTTCAGTCACTGAGCGGTCCCCAGGCGCGTCGCGGGGACACATCCATGCCCGACGAGTGCAAAGGAGCTGGGGCTAAGGCGGGGCGGGGGTTGTCTGCGGAGCTAATGGGGAAGCGCTTCCAAGGCAGCCGAGTCAGGAGAACCACCTCCCCAGCCATCGGCCGGCCAAGGGCAAGGGAGGCCCGGCGTGGCAGTCCGTGAGGCCTCTGAGATCCCAGTCGGCCGGCACCTACCTGAAGCCTCCGAAATCGGTGGAGAGAAGCGGCCGCCACCGATCTGCTCCTTCGCCATTTACTCATAGTTACATAAATTGAGCTTTTTATCTGCAGCTTGGATGCATGACCAGGGCGGCTCTAGGGGAAGCTCTAAAACCCTTACAATCAGACGCTGTGAAATATTGTGTTATATAGGGATATATAATGAAGACGTGTGTCTGAGATACCAACCTGTGTATATAAACGGAGAAAGAGGGAGGAAAGGGAAGGAAAGGGAGGGAGGGAGGAAGAGAGAGAGAGCAATAGGGGAAAACACTCAGGAGATCTGTCAACCAAAATCCAGTCCCCAGTTTTACAGCGTTTACAGCATGGAGACGCAGGTTGTAAACATTTTGTGGGCTTGGCAGAGACTATTACAACCCAAATAAATACACCGCATGGCGTGTTCACAGGGCTCCGGGGTGCTTCCATAGGTTCTGTTTGCTTTGCGTTTTCCCTCTGAAACCATTCTGCACCAGGGGTTGATCCTCGCACCCGCACTGGTGGCGGCCTCCTGGAAAGTTCCGGGGCGTGTTCCCCGCTCAGGGTCCAGGATAGGCTGGGCCTAGATTGGGGTCCCCTCCCTCCTCCTGGCCTCCTGAACACGGGAAACCAGAGCAGCCTGAGCAGCTCCACTGCCAAGGAAATTCGGTGGCGAGAGAAAGCAAGGAAAGCGTTCACGACGTGAATTCCTGTCCTGGAGCTAGGATGTTATCATAATTATTTTAAACGTTGTATTTATTTTAGAACAATCAAAGCAGCCTCCCAGGGATTTCCCCATCCCGGGCAATTCAGCCGCCAAACCCACACCAGAAAGTCACCAAGAATGCCTTTGCCCCCTATTTTCCACCACCTCGTTTTATTGCAGCTTATTCGAGGCGGCCGGGTCCTGGGGTCCTGGCTCCTCTGCGGGTGCTGGCTCACCGGGCCTCGTACCGGGGCGCAGCGTTAGGGAGCACCCCCTCCCCCGCCTGCCGCAGGACCCTTGACCAACGTAGGCGCCCTCTGCACCCCCTCCGGGGGGTCACCAAATCCCGGGGCTGTAGGCCTTAGTCCTTGTTTGTCCGCTGGTCAGCCGAGTTCTTCGAGCGTCGCGCTGCCCCAAGGCTTGTCCCGGCCTGGGAACGGTGACCCTAGAGTCACGCCCGCGCCTGGAGCTACAGCCCCGCAGCCGCCAGACGGCTGCAGCCACGCAGCGCTAGGCCTCCGGAACCCGGGAGAGGAAAGGGGGTGGGAGCGGTGCAGGTCGGGCGAGCACCACCGCTTGCTTGTTTCCCAGCGAGGTTTCTGGCCCGGCCTGACCAGCAAAGAAAATATACGACCGCAGTTCATTCAAATCTGGGGCTCCCATTCGAGAAAGGCTAGCGTCAAGTCGACATCTTAGGAACTTCCCAGGGTTGCGGCTGCGGGAGATGGCGGCCCGGGCGCCACTTGCGTGGAGCCATACTGCCATCTGCTGGCCGAATCTCTGCACTGCGGCCCCCGCTCCCCGGCCTGAACTTCGTCAGCCGCCGGGGCGGGCCCCGCGCCCCACTCCCAAAGCTGGGCCAGAGCCGCGTCCCTGGCGGGGGTGTGCGTGGAGCCCGGAATCTACGCTGCCGAGAGCGCAGTGCCCATAAAAGAGTTGTTTCCGCAGCCGCTTTATCGGTGCAGACAGAGCAAACAAATGAAAGGGCTTTGGTGGAAAATCTTAATTGGGGCTGGACAGTTGTAAACTCATTAAGGGCCGAATTCCAGACAGTTCGCAGACCCGGCCTTTATGGCACACCCTTACTGCCCATTCTTTGAAGTTCCTTCTGTCTGCAACAACAGAGGGCGTCCCAATCTGACGGCGGGGTGGGGGTGGGGGTAAGGGAAAGACCCATCCCCCGGCGTCCTGGTTCCCCCTTTAGGCATCGGAACTCAGATAACTTTCCAGCAGTCTCGGAGTGGTGGGGAGAGGGCGTGGCGAGCGAGAAAAGAAAAGGGGGGAGATTAGGCTGAACCCTCTGGCCACATCTATAAGGCGCTTGGGCCTCCGAAGTTGTGGCCGTTCCCCCCTCAGCCCTTTACACCCCATAAACGGCAACAGCCCTCATTTGCTTTTATGGCGCTTCCAGCTCGCCGGCTGCCTAGGCCCTGTCTCTGCCAGGAGGGGTGCTCGGGAGGGGAGTGCGGTACAGAACCCAGAATCTCCTGGGTCCTGACAGGACGCTGAGGTGCGAGGGCGCAAGACTTCAGTCCCTGAGAGTCCCCAGATGTCCTTCCTGGCGGCCGCGTTGGGGCAGCAGGGCTCGTTTCCCTCCTTGGAGACTCCTCGGGAGGCTGGTCCTTCAACTCCCCGTCGCTCCTGCCCTCACACTCCCCGCCCTATGCCAGGGGAAGGCCTAGGGGATCTCAGTGGACCCGGCTTCGGGAAATATCTCTGGGCGCCAAGATGAAAGGGTGGCCTTTCGCTGCTACTGGCCAACGGGACCCGAGACCCCAGCGCGGCTCCTCGAAGGCCTCTCGGCCTCCCCGCAAATGGGACAGGTCAAAGCCGGGAGCTAGGCCTCGCCGCCCCTCGTTGCCCAGCCTGGCTCGGTTGCTTGCGCCGCCAGGCAGCCGGCAGGAGTGGGAGCGCGGCTGGCTGCGGCGGTTCCCGATCCGAGAGCCCGCCGGCGGTGAAACGGCAAAATCGAGACTCTGCCTCCTCCCCCCAGGCCCGGCCCGCACCCAGAGACACTACCCACGCTCCCCTATCCCAGAGAAAAAGGTTCAAAGAGCTGACCCGCAATAAATAGAAAAGAATCAATATATTTTATTTGCCAAAAAGTTAAATATCATCTCAACACAACATTTGGTCAGTAGGCCTTGAGGTAACTATTGCAAAATATACAGTGTATGTCCAGCCGGATGGAAACCCCAGATTCATCAAGGATACAAATCTACAGTAGCCCAGTGGCGGTTTCATAGTGTATAATTTATTATCAATAAAATTAACTCCATTACAATAAGCATTCATTTTTCCCCCGATTAAAATTAAATGTAAACCATAGGTAGTAACCTTCTGCACATATGTATAGCTCCGAATTTCCTCAATGTTCATCCGGTGCAAAAACAATATTCAAGCTTGTCTGATTACTTTTTTCTTTAATATATGGATTATATATACAATGAACAAGACAGGTCTATAGAACGGGTAGAGAAGAAAATGCCCACATTTCCAAAGAGGAGGAAACCATGAATTTATGCATCCTGGAGAACACTTTCTTTCTTTTAAAATTTTATTTCACTGGGAAATCCTTACAGCTCGTTTACAATCCAAGGTGAACAGCCTAGTCATACAGAAGACATGTTCCATACAGAGCTATACTCTACGCAACTATTTTTCTCCCCTAGCAACAACCTGAGTTGAAATTGAATTCTAAGCGCTCACAATCACAACGGGTGCGTCACCCAGCACAGAAGTTTGAGTCACAAAACGTAATTACCACAATAAAACACAGTGTTCAAGTATCTGGGCAGATCGCTCTGCCGCACAAAGGGCAAATTAAATTAACTACACAGACTAAAAACTATACAGCCCGCCATCAACAGTTGTGCATTATAAAAAGGTAGTATTTTTTTGTTGTTGTTGTTGTTTGTTTCTTTGAAGTCAGGAACAGGTAGATTTTTTTTTTTTAATATATACAAGCTAGCACACACAGGCATCAGCGAAAATGTCCCCCCCCCACCCTTTTTTGTTTGTTTGTTTCCGTCTTATAGAAAATGGAAAGCTTACAATACCTCCTCCATCAAAGCAGCAGGCTGGGGGGTGGGGGGAAGCCAGCCTTAGCCCAGCTTTCGAGGGGGAGATGAGGCCTGGAGTTTAGAGCCGCTTTGTGCGGGATGGTCGGGGTGGTGGACGCTGGGGTTGAATAGGGGCGGGAGAGGGATCGGGCAGTCCCTTCTCTTTCTCCCTGGCTCGCTCTCTCTTTTCTAAATGAACTCAGTTGAATCACTCGTCTTTTGCCCGGTCCTTGTTGATTTTCTTCATTTTCATCCTGCGGTTCTGGAACCAGATCTTGACCTGCCGCTCGGTGAGGTTGAGCAGCCGGGCCACCTCGTACCTGCGGTCCCTGGTGAGGTACATGTTGAACAGAAACTCCTTCTCCAGCTCCAGGGTTTGATGCTTGGTGTAGGGGCAGCGCTTCTTCCTCGTGGAGCGCGCGTGGAGCCAGTTGGCTGCCGGGTTGCCTGCGAAGGAGACAGACGGGATTTAGAAAGAGGAGAAGAACCTACATCCCCCCTCCACTGGGGGCCGGGGAACCTCCTAGGGTCTTCGGCCAAAGTGCGGGACGCTGCTGAATCGGTGAGGGAAAGGCTGCAGAACCCGTACACAATGGAATCGTGGCAGACAGACGGAGGAACGGTCACTTACAATTGCACGCAGTAAAATCTTGGCTTCCCCCTCCCTTACGAGACCCTCCTCTCTCCTCTGTCCTCCTGTCCTTTTCCTCTCCTTCTTTCCACTCTCTGTACACTGTACAAGGATGGAAATTTAGAAATAGATCCTCTTCTTGCCAGGCAGGGGGACAGCACGCTGCCCTGTGTTCCTGTAACGTTAATATTCTCTTCTCCCCCGCACTAACACACACTCTCTCTCTGTATCCTCCCTTCCCCACCTTTCCTTCTACTTTCCCCTTTCCTTCTTTGACTCCCTGGATGGCCGTCAGAGCCGGGTAGCCGGCATGGCGCCCCTAGGCGCCCCAAGGATGTTGATCACTTCTCCAGTTTATGTGAATAATCTGGCATGGGGACCGCCGAGGCCCGGTCGCCTACAGCCTCATCTTGGGCAGGACATACGCCGCCACTGGCTGAAGGCAAGAAGTGGAGGGGATCGGCTGTTTTCTTCAATGTCTAGGCTGCAGTTGCTGCCGCCGCTCCAGGCTCCAGGACAGTCTAGCCGCACAAAAGATTCTCTCTGCCGAGCTGCTTTCGAAGAACGACCCAAAGTACTGCTGTCCTGGTACCGGACAGCCAGGGAGAGGGGCGGCTGGTCTTGGCTTGGCCCGCAGCGCCCGCCCCGCCCCCTCTCTCCCGGCTGCAGCCGCCTCCCCTCCCCCTGAACCCGGCAGCCAGCTTGTCACTGCTCTCTGGAATTGGGGCCCCATCCGAGGCATCCTAAACAGCAACTTCTGGTTCCCGGCCCCTGCTCAAGAGGCTCGCAGCGCAGGCGAAGCAGGCTCAAGAGAAAGCTGAAGGGCTGGCAGATCCTGGTGGCCGGCGTGGAGGCGGCGGCCGGTCTGAAGGGAGGAGACACTTACTGGGATCGATGGGGGGCTTGTCTCCGCCGCTCTCATTCTCAGCATTGTTTTCGGAGAAGGCGCCTTCACTGGGCTGTTTTTCTCTATCAACTGGAGGAGAACCACAAGCATAGTCAGTCAGGGACAAAGTGTGAGTGTCAAGCGTGGGACAGTCACCCCTTCTGGCGGACAGTGGTTCAGGTTTAATGCCATAAGGCCGGCTGGAGGGCAAGCCCGCGAAGGAGAGCGCGCCGGGCGTGGGCTCCAGCCAGGAGCGCATGTACCTGCCGTCCGGGGCCGCCGCCGCCACGGGCGCCTGGGGGTGCACGTAAGGGTGGTGATGGTGGTGATACACCGCGGCGGGCACCGCATTGGCGCCCGCCGCGTGCACCGGGTTCCATGAGGCGCCGAACACCGCCGCCTTGGACTGGAAGCTGCACGGGCTGAAGTCGGGGTGTTCCGCCAGCGCTGTGGCCTGCCGGGGAGGCTGACCCAGGGCCCCCGGCGCGTAGCGGCTCGCGCCCAGCTCGTCCGCGGCCTCGGCGCCCAGCAGGAACGAGTCCACGTAGTAGTTGCCCAGGGCCCCGGTGGTGGCCATCGCTGTGCCCCGTGCCTGGCCGGTCGGCCCGACCCGCGGAAATTATGAAACTGCAGATTTCATGTAACAACTTGGTGGCACCAGTGGGGGGGGGAGTACAGTCACCTAATAAGTTGCCGGCGCCCGCGCCCCCATTGGCCGCGCGCGTCACGTGCCCGCCCGGCAGAACAATAACGCGTAAATCACTCCGCACGCTATTAATGGCCCGGTGTTTTGCAGTCATAATTTTTATAGCAAAAGCCATATGTTTTTATGCAAAGGGATCGCGGCGCTCCACGATCGGGTTTGTTTTAATTGTGGCCAACGAAGATTAAAAGATCAAATCTGGCCTTGCCTCTGTACTCCCTCCCCTCCCACCGCCTCCACCAGACACACACTTCTTAAGCGGACTATTTTATATCACAATTAATCACGCCATCAGCGAGGCGCGGGTCCCGCGTGCGAGTGCGGCCGGTGGAGCCCCTCACATAAAATTAGACAATAATTGAAGCCATAAAAAAGCAGCCAAATCGCATTCTCGCTCTACTGTATTTAAATCTATATTTATGATATTTCATAAGGAGTTATTGTTTCAGAAGCCACACAGGCTGGTGGGAAGTCGGGAACGACCAACAGATTCGTTTGCTTCGCCGTGGTTCCCGGCTGTAAAAATTTACGAGGACTTGGAAAGGTTAAATTAGACTGTTGTGTTGGGTTGGCGAGCTCCCTGTAAATAATTCCTGCCGTCCCCGGAGATGAGAGTTTACCCTGGGCCGGCCGCGAAAAGTCAAATTCAACGCAGCATCCGTCCCAAAGGGAGCCACCACCTGCCCCTGCCCGAGCGCGCTGGGCACTGACAGGATTCCCAGAGGGCACCGCCTATTGTGGGGCCCGAGATCTGCCCCCCTTTGGATCCCAGGGCGCCCGGGGAAGCTAGCTCCCAGCGTCGCCGCTGAACCTCCAGCAAGCGCCCCACCGAGGAGCAGCCGGCTGTCCCTGAGCCGAAGGGCTTGAGGGCCTGGTTGTGCTGCGGGTTCGGTTCCGACCCCGCGCACACGCCCCCCGCCCAGCCCTACAGCCCTACGGGCCTCAGCTAGGAATCACGACACCCAGGCGAACGCAGCGGGCCACCCAGCACCGTGCCCCGACCTCGGAGGCCCTCACGCTGAGCTCTGCGAGCTTTGTCGCACTCCCCAAACCCGAGCTGCGAAAAAAACACGAGGCGGCCTCCGTGGAAGGCGAGATCGGCTCGCGAGAAGACAGTCCTGCCGAAGAGACCGCGCGGCTCCAGGAGCTCGGAGGCCCGCGCAAGAGCCGCTGGCCTCGGGGGCCCAGTATGAGTTCTTCAGGGCTCCTTCCTTCCTTTCTTAACGGCCACCGCCCCGGGCCCCGCCTCGGTTTTCACCAGGCCGGACGGCTCAACAAGGTTACAAAGGCCCAAAGCTAGGCGACCGCCGCTCAAGTCCAGGGCTAGAAATTAAAACGGGGAGGGGCACAGGGCACGGGGCTTTGACTTTAATCCCATTCCTTGGCTTGGCCACATGGGGGAAGGTATTTCTTACCCCTTTTTGAGTCTGTCTGCGTTAAATGAAAAGGCCTCACGGCCTCTGTTAGTTGGAAGAAAAAACCCACCCCAAATCCGAACGGAAAGCAGCGACTCCTAAAAACGGGGTAATTAAATTCACGTGTGAACACTGTGTCTGCAAGAGTGTGTTTCTCATTAGCCCACTCCCCTGTCGGCGAGGGCGGGCGACGAGGGCGCTTCCATCTCTTTTTCTGGCTTCATCCTACCCAGCAATTCCAGTAATCCTCCCCCAAACCCTGATACATCCCTATCCCGGACGGGGACCCTCAAATGCCGGGCTCTCCCCGAGAGCGAGGCTGCGAAGCCTGGCGGAGACCAGCCGGGTTCCCCTTTATCCGCTCTCTCCGGAAGAGGGAAGTGGCCGACACAGTGAACTCCCGACGACGTGGCTGGTCCTGGTGGCCTTAGCCTCCTCCCCCATAATATTTTCCTTTCCCAGTAAATTCCTCTGCCTTTTCCCCACCCCCATCGCATCCCGGCGTGTCCCAAATATTGGGCAGTTCGCGGTGCCTCTGAGATTTTCATTAAGAAGTACTAACTCAGGAGACCTCGCTCCTCATTGTAATTGTCTGAGAATGGGCTGGACTGGCCTATTTGCAATTCAACTTTTTTGATCAGAGAAGCCTTGAATTAGTATTAGTATTTTTTTTTTTAATGAAAAAGCTGTTTAAATAACCTTAGCCCCCTAGAATAGGACAGTCACCACATAATTAGCAGGCCCTGAATGTTAAGCAGGCCTTACTGGTGCCTAAGAGGGGAGAAAAATCAGAAAAACCTAACTGGACCCCTCTTCTGCCCAAAGATTTGGGGAGAAAGGAGTCAAGCTTTTGAGTCAGATTTTATTTTGGAAATGAAAGGGACTGTGTGTGTATATTTAAAAAAAATAAATAGATGTAATTACAAAAACTGCCTCTTTCTGCCTGAGAGTTCTAAAACCTTGGCCTCCAAAATAAATCCAATTCTCTGGTCTGGAAAATGGCACAGAGGACTTTAGGGGAGAGCCGTGTGCTGGCCTTTCAGATAACAGGACAGCAGGCAGAGCGATGGAAACAGTTCCAGGGCCGGAGACAGAGCTGGGAAGGGAAGCCCAGCTTGGTGGGCATGAGTCTGAAGGCTCTGCGTGTGCGTGTGTGTGTGTGTGTGTGTGTGTGTGTTTGGGAGGGAGGGAGGGAGGGATGAAAGTTGTTTTCAGTTTGGTAGCCAGAATGGTTCATCTGGCTTCCAACAGTGGACTACAACTTGGAATGAGGGCTCAAGTTTGTAATACAATGGTTGTGGAATTTAAGATTCCTTTCCCCTATTATATTTGAAACAGACTGGAGCTGGAAGGGTCCCTTTCTCCAGTACCCATCGGCACAAGGATGCCATTTCTAACAGACTCTGAACCTGATAGAGGCTACGGGCAAACAAGCAACCCTTCTTTGCCCTAGCGCTGTTCCCCTGCCGCGCGGTTAAAGCCAGAGTTGGGACCAGCAGGCCGGAGGAAAGCGGAGGAAGCTTCCAGGCGGGATTCCCTGCGTGGCCAGGCTCTATAGAGCCTGGCTGGGCCTCAGCCGAGGTCCCAGCCTCAGGTGCCCAGTGAGGCCAGCAAAGGCCTCCTTGCCCTCTGTGTGGGCACACAAAAACGGCGCGAATGCCCCCTAATCGGATCTCATAAGCTGTGGCTGCCGACCCGCGGAGTAAGAACGCAAGGCCGCCGCCATCCGGTCGTGATCATAACCGAGGCCTTGTCTCTGCAGCGGCACACCAGGCCCAGATCCACAGCCCCCAACAGCTGTCCCACGCGAGCCCTTCCTTGGCAGATTCCGACCACAACTTGAGCACGCAGAAAAAAAAAAAAAAAATAAGACCCCCGTCCCACACTCTCCCAAGCCAGCCCTGGGTCCCTCTCGGAGGAAGAGATGGGAGGACAGGAAGTGGAGATAAAAAACTGGGCACAGAGAGACCCAAGATGAAAGACAAATGAACGGAAGGAAAGAAGGAAGAAGTAAAGGTAAGGATAAAGAAAAAGAAGAAAGAGGAAGAACGGAGGGAAGAAAAGAAGGAAGCAAAGAGTCAAAGGCGACTCCTGGGAGCAGAGGGCGGCTTACAGAGAGAAGGGTAAGTGACAAGGCCAGTATCCCAGCCCCTTTCCAGCCTGTCCCTCCTAGTTTAGTCTGAGTCTCTCAAGGGGATCTTTCCTGATCTTCTACCCTGGATTAGGGCTGCTTGTGTCCCAGCCTTGCAGGAGAATGGCCTGGAGTCGGGGAAGGCCCAGAATGGGAGCGTGTGCCCCTGACCTTGAATGGCTCAGGGCCCAGAATTCCTACCACGCCCCCGGCGTCCGCCGAGGAGCAGCTAACCTGATCATACCTGCTCGAGGCCAGGTGGGGATGGGGATTGCGGCCAACAGCTTGGCAAAGCGCTGAGAAGGAGGCAGGGACGAGGCTCCTGCGCGGGAAAAGCCGAGGTTGCCACCACAGGCCTGGCACGACCAGGGCCCGGATGCCCCGCCCGGCCCGGCCCCCGCGCGCACAGGTACCTGGAGACGATTTCAACTGAAGTAATGAAGGCAGTGTCGTGCTGTCGAGAGAAAGGTGGATCCCAACAACAGGAAACTACCTAAATCACCGACCAGTTCTCGTGCTGCCAGCGCGGGGCTGCCTCGCCCGCCGCCGCCGCCGCCGCCGCCACCGCCGCCGCCACCGCCACCGCCGCAGCCAAGGGAGAACCCTGCGATCGCGCCCGGCCCGGCCCCTTGCCAACCTGCGCCCGCGCTGCCACTGTGTGTCCCGCGCTGCCGCTAAGGCATCGCGGCGGAAGAAGCCACCGGCCCCCGGTAAGGTAAACCTGGGAGAGAGGGGGAAAGAAGGTAAAGGAGAGAGAGGAAAATGGAAGGATAGGGAAAAGCGAGAAGAAAGGAGAGCGAGCAGTGTGCGTGCTGATTTCCCAAATCCCGCTTCTCGGCGAGCCGGCGCCAAGCGGCGGCGACCCTGAGTGACTCGAAAGCGCCAGGGACGGCCCCGAGCCCGGCTCCCAGTCTGGTCTCGGCCTCCGGCGCTCGCTCCCTGCGGCTCGCTCTCCCCCTCTCTCCCTCTCAGCCAGCCAGCCAGCCGGGGCGCGCGCTCCCGCGCCCCCTCCCCCTGCCGTCGCCCTCCCCCCCACCTCCCGCGAGCAGGAAACGCGTGGCCCCGCGGAGGGCGACCAGGTGGGGGAGGCCGTGCTGGGGGAGGGGGGCTTACAGCCCGCAGCAGTCTACCTAACCGCTGCGGCGGACGCTAGTGACGCGCTCTGGGCCCAGCCTGCTCCCCGGATTCCTAGGCTGGGGGTCATCTAAGACCAGGGGACCCGCAAAACAACCGGCGTCTGCGAGCCTCCCTGGGGCTCCCGAAAGAAATCCTGTTTGGCTTCCTCTGTCTATGCAGCTCCCCTCTCAACTGAAACCACTGGTCCAAGACAGCCACAATCCAGATAT